AAAGAAAACTTCAAAGTGCTCCTTCACCTTAGTTATTTGTAAGGAAATTAGTATATACTCATTCTTACTGGATAGCCTGCTAGGTAATAATAATGATGATAATACTACGAATAATAGGAACATTTAAAGAGAGTTTAGGTTGCCATGCCAAGCTTATAATAGAAAGTACCTTCATTAATCTTCAGAGCAGTGTTCTCAAATTGTAGTAGTATTTTTCTCACTTTATAGACAAGGCTAGTGAGACATGTAGACACTAACTTGCTCATGTCCTACGGCTAGTGGTTGAAAAAGCTTAGATTCAGCTCCACTGGGCTCTAGAACTAACTGGATTCTGCCTGTGCTGCACTGGACTGGCTGATAATTAATATCTTTCATGCATGAACTTTGGGTAACTTAACATCACCTTTCCCATTCCTTATAATAATGATTGGCCTTTTTGAAGAAATGTAATTAGCCGTTTATCAAAATCCAATTTTCATAGAATTGTTGGTTTTTCCATAACCTAATAAATGAAGAAAAGGAAGTTGAATAAGTCATTTTCTGCCTTTATACATTACAGATCTATTCTTAGTCAATAAATTATGCATAAGTCAATATGTTTTCTCTTTTAAAATGGTCCTTAAAATTTTTTATAAGTGAGCCACCTTGTGGCATGGTGGTTAAGGTGATTGGATTGATATGACTTCCTGCACTGGTTCTGGTGGTTCCAGAAATATGCCAAGCATATGTATGTGCATGCCCAGAATCCCAAAAGGAGAGATGAAAGAGAAGGGATTGTGGTGTTGCAATCACCCTGAGGGATGCTTCCTTGACCACCTCCCCAAGCCCACTCTGTCTTTAGCAAGTACACATGCTATCTCACAAAAAAATTAAAAGAAAAAGATTTTCTAAGTAAATCTCTCTGTTCAACTGTCTCCCATGACTAAATATGAACACAGTTACACTTTCTAAATTATTTTTTGGAAATAGTTATACTGGTATGGAAGATAATCTTTATGAAGCTAATTAGCTACATCACATTTTCTTTAAGTTGTAAGTGTACCAGTTCTTTCTACCTTTCTTTGTTTTAAGAATGAAAATTCAGTAAAAACATTTTATATTTTGTAATTTACATTGTAGAAATGAGTGGGCACAAATGCATGGATAGGTCTAGTGTATTTGATTATCTAGTGGCTATGAAATTATAAAGTTTTAGAAATAAACTTTTTATATTTGGAATAATTTTAGATTTAAAGAAGGATTATGAAGAAGACAGCACTGAGTTTCAGCATCCTTCACCAAGCTGTACTAAATTTTTACCAATTCAGAATAGTTGCAGAAATATGGTATTCTGACCAACTATGCCCAAGTCCTCAAAGTATTCTTTTTTAGAGAGAGAAATTTTTGCGATAGGGTATGTGTGCTTGCTTCAGAGTCAGACAGAAAGTGTCATTCCCCAGGGGGGATGGCCACAGCACAATCTTTTCTCTTCCATTCTCCCATCAGGATTTGGGATGCATGCGCACACATACGCAGTGTGAGTTTCAAGCTGCCAGGTCTGGGACTCAAACAGTGGTTGGTCATGTGGAAGTTCAGCAACATAACCTGTATGCTATCTGCTGGTCCCCCTCAAAACATTCTACAATCTTTAACACACTCAAGTATAATGACATTAACTTAGATAAATTAATCATGTTTTTCCTTATTTTTGATGTTTTGTATTGCCATAGAATGTAGGACGCAAGACTGAATTCTTTTTTCTTTCTTTGAAGAGGTTTTTGCTATAGGGCGCATGTGCTCGCCAGACAGACAGAGAGAGACAGAGAGACAGAAAGCGAGAAATCACCCCGCAGGGGGGATGGTCACGCCGCAATCCCTTCTCCTCCATTCTCCTCTGGAGATCTTGGGCACGTACGCACATGCGCCCAGCGTGAGTTTTAAGCCGCCGGGTCTGGGACGTGAACCGCGGTCAACGACGTGGGAGTCCAGCAACATAGCCATTACGCTAACTGCTGGTTCCCAAGACTGAATTCTTTTTTCTTTCTTTGAAGAGGTTTTTGCTATAGGGCGCATGTGCTCGCCAGACAGACAGAGAGAGACAGAGAGACAGAAAGCGAGAAATCACCCCGCAGGGGGGATGGTCACGCCGCAATCCCTTCTCCTCCATTCTCCTCTGGAGATCTTGGGCACGTACGCACATGCGCCCAGCGTGAGTTTTAAGCCGCCGGGTCTGGGACGTGAACCGCGGTCAACGACGTGGGAGTCCAGCAACATAGCCATTACGCTAACTGCTGGTTCCCAAGACTGAATTCTTTTGACCATCAATATACCTTTGAAGTATTATTTAAAAGATGTCAAATCTGCTACTTGACATTTCTTGTGCATGTAGAGAAAATTATAATTTTACCCAAAAAATATCATGATTAGAATTATTGTAATACCTTTTTTCTTCTAAGATCTTCTAATATGTAGGCTTTCATTGAAAATCTAATATGAGAATACGCAACGTATATTTTAACTATGGAAGACTGTATACACTTTGTTTATTTTCAAGGGCATATAGAAAAGAATATAAATATTTCATGACATTTCCATGAGCATGTTATTTTAGTTAGCATTTATATTTCAGCCTTATCAGTTGTCTTCTCAAACTCTCAAAATTGGACAAATACTAAGCACAGTATTTAATTTTAAGTAGAACTTCATTTTCTTTTCTTGAAAGCACACCCTAAATCTGTTCGGTCACCTAAACATCTATGAATCTATTCTAATGAATCTTTCTTGCTTTCATCCATGTTGAATTCATATGATCTAATTTGTGTGAAAATTTTCAATGCTGAGGTTTTTAAGAAATAATTAATTCTGGGCCAGCTAGGTGGCATGGTGGTTAAGGCAGCTGGTCCTACATGGCTGACTTTGCAGTTCATGTCTCAGATCTGGCAATTTGAAAAACATCCAAACACATATGTGTGCATGTTCAAATCCTGAGAGGAGAATGGAGGAGAAGAGATTGTGGCCTGGCTATCCCCTCCTGGGGGCGATTTCTTTCTTTCTGTCTTTCTCTGGTGAGCACATGTACCCTAAAGCAAAACACAAGGAAAGGAAGGAAGGAAGGATGCGAATTGACTTGCCATAGAGTAGGACTCACTATGTATTGAAAAGTAGTAGAATCAGAGCTCTGTGGAAATTACATTACCTTCACAATTTAATTGTTTGCTACCACTTTCACTCTTGAAAACTGCCATAGGCAGTTTATTTCCTTTGACAAAATAAAGTATACTTACAGAAATTCCCATAGTGAAAGAGTATGTGTACAGTGTTCCCAAATATATTGTATAATGAAATACAAGGCATTTAGATCAATGACCTCCTGTTTTCCTTGGGCTCTAATAACTGGCTTTGCTATTTTTGTGTATTTTCTAAACGTGAAATGTGCAGCCTTTTAAAGTGGCAGTTTTGTATTGAAACCAAGGGAATGGGCATTGCTTGCCTCTACTCCGTGCAGTGACACTCTGTTGCTGATGAGTCTCTCCTCCTCTCTCCACCCCCTTCCCATCCTTTTCATAGATGCGCATCGGGAATTCCTTCACAGGCCTGCATCTGGATACGTGCCAGAGGAGATCTGGAAGAAAGCTGGTAAGAATTGTTTAAAAACATGAGTTTAGTGTTCTGGCAGCTGTGTGCAGTTGTTAATGCAGTGATGTGAAGAATGACAAGAAAGGACTTTGCTGCTAACAACAACAGCAAAAACAAAACAAAACAAAACAAAAAAAACGCACAAAACAAAACAAAACCCAAAACCCCTGATTAATATTCTTAAACCAAGCCTGATTAGAACATGAAATAGTTTTTTATTTTAGCAGCATCTGCTAGTGCCACTATAATTAAGAGGCTGGTGGTATTTCTATCATAAACTCCCTTTTTTCTGAGACTATAATGATTTCAGGCTGAAACTTGGTGTAGGAGGTCTTTAACTTGCATGCATTTTTTCTTTGATGGAAAAAAAAATCTGATGCTTTAGAAATTAAATTGCATACTTCAGCTTTTTCTCTGCATTCTTAAAAAAACATAATTACATCAAATCTAGTTGACTTGTTAAGGCACTCAGTGAGTTTTCTTTAAAATTTCAATCAACTTTTAAAATTGTTCTTCAGTCCTAATTAATATTCAGTGATCAGAGCTAAATTACTTTATAAGTTAAATGACAAAGTTGTTGAACTTCTATTTTCACCTTCCATATATGCTGTTTGCTTTCTATTAAGATATACTACTCTGTATTTTATGGTAGGGAAAAGCCATACTGCCCATTGAGTTAT